ATATAATTAAAAAAAGAAAACTTTCTACCTGAAACTGAAGAACTGCTGTCAACCAGTTAGAAATGGCCCAGTGCCTTGGAAGCATCCATTCTCAACCATATCTAGAGGCCAGTAAAACTGTATTATTTAGTAGCTTGGATATTTTGTCAGGGTACCAACTGTTCTGTTATTGCATGTGTTAGATTTAGCCATTTAATCAGGCCATACTCACAAATAGTAATAATGAACATTAACAACAAAGTTTCCATATTAATATTGTGTACAGTGCCTTTCTTCTCTACTTTGTAGAAGATAAACCTGTCTTTGAAGGTTAGCTCAGTGGACTGACACTTAGCTGGGGCATAGGTCACCTAATCAAAGTCATTCCCCTTGTGGGAGATGTGGAGAAAAAGTGCATGGAACAGCTTGGAGAAACTCACTGAGAATATGAGGGGTTTACAGGAATTGGAAGAAGATGGTCTCTTGGTTCTGCTGTTTTGCAAGAGGAAGAGGAGGGATTTAAGAAACTGTCAAAGGATTTGTATGAACCTTCAGTACATTGCCATGGTGAAATGTATCATCTTGCAATAGGATTTAATCCACACAGGATTTAATTTTTGACTGAATACCCAAAAAGGAGACTTAATTTTTACTTGAAGGCAAGAACTGCTTCCATCATGACGGAAGTTGCTTGATATAATAAGAAAATGCAGGGATTGCCTTGAGTCGTATGCATTCTGTCTTTGTCCCTACTTTTTTTTTTTAACAATAGTTGCTTGGGGAATTGGGGTTGCCTACAAAATAGGATAAAGCAAAGAAAATCATTGTGCTTTTTCTCATACCTGCAACTGAAAGCACTCACTTTTCAGAACCAAACCTAAAATCCACTGAGATCAGTAAGGACAACACTGTCAGGGAATGCATCGATTCCATAGGTCACTAATGGCCAACCCTACTGAAAACCTTCCTTAGGAATCATGGTTTTTACAGGGACTACTAGCTGACTGTCCTTGAGAAAAGTCAATGCTTTTATTTGCTTTCAATCATTCTTTTTTCTCCCCTCTACTCTCCTTTCCAAATGGGGCAAGCTTGTCTTTGTCACTGCAGTGCTATTTCTGTTGTTTGCCTTAATGTCTTTGGATAGAGTACAATGCTTTGATTGATTTTATATATATATGTTGTCAGATGGATACTGGGGGAGTATGCTGTTATGCTGAGAAGCAGTAGCAGAAGAGCCCTTGACAATGAGCCCTTGAGGTTCTTCTTTCTTCCTCTTTCTCCTCCTCCTCCTTCTTTTTAAAACTTCTTTCCAATCTTGGAGAGGTCAAAAGGTGTGAAGAATTTAAGCATGGAATTTCAGAACAAGAGACAGAGTCATGCACAGTATTACAACACAGGCTGATGAGTTTTCAAAAGACAACCGTCTCTCGGTTGAATTGAACATCAATCTATCTGGACTGGCAGTTCCCAAGAATCCAAATAAGTTGATTTGTAAAGTTATTTTATCTTCATTATTATTATTCCTTAAATGTCAGCAGAATTCCTGAAGGGTAGCATTATCATTTCTCAGCAAATAGCATTGATGGGAAATTGTGCACCACTAGATTCCAAGGAGGAAGCAATCAACTGTGATAAGCTGATCAAATGGCAATTTTTTATATGAATGGGAATGCTCTGATTCCACTTAGTGACCCTGATTTTTTGCAGAGAAACAGAGTTGCTGTCATTTTGATCTTAGAAATATTTAGCTACTTAGAGGTATAACTTTAAAATAGAATTCATCTAAATGAGTGTTTTCTAATTAGACCCAATTATGTACTACACCTGTTTTGAGTGGAGTGGGTGGAATGAAGGGCAAGAACACTTAAATGGTCTTTCAGTATCTGCCCTTTTCAAAGTAGCTGAAACCAGGATAAAGGGAAGAGAGGGGCTAGGTTAACCTTAATTTAATGTATACTGTTCATTAGACTGAGAAAGATAGAAGGAAGGAGGAGAAGAGGATGACCAACAGCACACTGGATGGACTCAATTACAGCTGTGATGGGTGCACAATTGGAAGACCTGAGGGACCAGGTTGGAAACAGATCATCTTAGAGAAGGTCTACTTACGTGGTCACTAAGAGTTGACACTGACATGATGGCACATAACCAACGAATCAAACATTGGCTAAAATACAGTTAACATCATATCTCCCTGTATATTAAAAAAATATCTTCCTGTTACTTAAAAAAATACAATTTACCACATCTATATGGACTCTGGGGATCCACAGCTTTGTTTCAAACCATCTCTTACTGGAGGCATTTAAATAGGTCAAAAGGTCAAAGACTGCCCGTGATAAACATTATTTCCACTACTCGGTTTAAACTAAGGAGAAACATACACTTACACACAAACACACACTCACCCATATGGCACAGCTGTCTTTGGGCCACTTTGGATCACAATGCTAAGGTATGCTGGGTGCTTCTGAAGTATTTGAATAGCTATTCCAACATTCAGTGAATGCTCAGTTACTTCCCACTGATGGGTTCAATTTCCATGTAGTTGGTACTTGCAGGAGAGAAGAATCGTTTCTTCATGTAATCCTCCTCTTACCTTTTTAAATAGTCAAGTTTCAGAGAACCTGTCTCCATGTGTCTTCTACTTTCCAAACAAGATCGGCCCTGAATTATCATTTACCCAATTCTCTCATCTATCCATCACCATCCATTCTACCATCCCTGCTTGAACTGGTTCTTGCTGAAGTGCCAGGGAGCAATTTGGATGCAAGGAGTCACTGGTTTTTGATTAAAAGGGTAAAATGCTTAGCCAAGTTTGAATAATTGGCTCTTATAATGTTCTTAACAGCTGCCCTCTAATGCAAGTGGTTCACAAACACTTGACTTCCCAGCATCATTACACCCTCCTCCATTTTAAAAATTTCCCATGATGGATGACTTCACTCAACACTTTTACAGGTAAAGGGTTTACCGTCAGATGTTAGTGCAAAGATTCTTCCTTCCATAAATCAAATGTTGAATTTGCATTGCTGTCCCTTCCTTATCTAAAAGTTTCATGCACCTTGCATTCTAGAAAATCAGCCAGATTCTGCTCTCTCTCTTTTCTCTGGGAATCAACCCTGAAGAATAGCTCAAACGCATGCCAGTAGAGCATTTATAAGCCAAGGAATGGTTTCATCACAAAGACCTGCCAGTCTAAGCCAATTTATTATATGCTGTACAAGTGTTAAACTGCTTTAAATCAATAGTTAAGAAGACAGGGGAATACTCGGGGCGCAGTAAGTCATCATTTTAATGAAATATAGATTATTCCAAGACTATTAAAGAAGTAGTTGGGTGTCAGGGAAACAGTGCACTTTTTTTTTTCCCCCAGCATTAAACAAAACCCATCTATTTTAGTGGAGCAAAATCAATACGTAGCTGTGACCTGCCATGTAACCTGAATGTGTAAGTAAATTTATAGGCAGAATTACCTATTGCTAAAGAGACAGGTTGTGTTACAGACCTGGGTTAGTTCATCTGATCCAGTTAAAGGAAAGGTGGTGGGAGGGGCAGAGACAAGGGACCATGCAAGTCACCTGCTTGGCTTGAATGATACTTCACGGTGTAGCAGTGTGAGGAACTGAAGCTGGGGTTGTTGTCTGTGCTTGGGAAAAGCAGCTGCAGCGAGGCAGAAAGGCTTCCCACCCCACTTCCCCAAAGCTCAACACACCTCATGCATCTTCTCAAAGGGTTGTTACAGTCCCAGAAAGAGAGATGGGCACATGCATGCATGCATTCTCTCACAAAGTTGCTCACAAGCTTTCATGCCAGTGTTCCAGCTGCCTGGCTAATTGAGCCACACCCTGGTGTTTTCAAGGATGTGCTGCCATCCACAGGCACCCTCACCCCACCCAGGCTCTTAGCTTACAAAAGCAAATGCTAAGACAGAGCGTGGATGGGTGTGTAGGAGAAAAGGAGATAGGAAAATGGCAAGCAGGTGAGGAAGTGGGAGGCGATGTCTGGAGATTGGCAGCTGTTACAGGCAGGCAAGAGGACTATTAATCAACGGCCATGACCACAAGCTACAGTAAGCAGCATATCCTGGTGGGAGCTCAGGAGCTTGGCTTATCAAAAGTAACATTGCTTAAGAGCAGAGCTTGGAGCTCAGCAGCATCTAGAAAAGGAACAGCCCCACTGAGGCAGTCCCTCATCCCAATTAGTGCAAGAACTTTTGGGAAAAGGCAACAGTTGCATGGTACTTTATAGACTTTGAGACTTTTGCTTGAACTGAGCATAAAGGACTGAGCATTAAAGAGGTATTTATGTGGCAACAGCAACTTGCAAGTCCTAGATGCAAGTCTGAGTTGACCCAGAGCAATAGCTTGTTGTTGGGGAAGGTGTGTGCTGCAATTAAGCATTGTGTACAGATTTGCTATGCTGTGGTGTGTCCAGTCCTTGGAAAGCAAAGAAACTTCACAAGCAGATAGCACCATGCAAAGACTTACCACGGTGTAACGATCTGCCACCCACTGATCCCAAATCCAGTAACTTTCCTTGCAACCAGTATTGATTCAAAAGAAAGTTCATTTATTGAGAACAAGTGTACAGTTCCAAAACATTGCTAACTTTGAGCGCGCCAAAAGTTGTTTTTCATACTTTTCCCTCCTTCACCCCCCTTACCTCCTGGTCTCCTGATTCCCTTGCTGGTACGACCTTGGGCATGCCAGCACCTGTGATAAGGAACCATCTGCTTCTAACGGTTTCCCATTCCTTCTCCCCCCCCCCCTTTTACAATGGCAGAACCACAGCATGTAAGCAGCAATTGCTAAACTAGCCAACATAACAATCTACTATTAAATCTTGCAAGGATTCTGACACATGGTTTGCCATGCGCCATGCTAAACCTGGTTGACTGGCTCCTTTTGCTGAACTGTGGTTTCCTATGATATTTTAGATGGTTGCAGTATGTTTCCTGGGATCGTACACAAATATTTGAGTCATGTGCATGTACATCAGCTATGTTAAAGGCATATGTGCAAATACTAGACAGTACTATCCCTAACATTAGCCAAAGGGAAGGAGCTGTCTTGAGCAACGGATTCTGGTAAATGGTAGAAAAATGTTTCTGGAGAGAGGGGTGGGCCATCCAATCAGCTCTGCTGCCTTCAGAGGCAGAGATATTCCTCCAACATTCCTCTTAGAGAAAGGTTTCAGCTGTTAATCCAATTCTCATCTCTTGCAGCACCATTCAGACAGCAAAATGGAATGGGTCAGCCCTCAGGGAAGCATATGGGGGAAGCCAGTTGCTTGAGACATCACTACCAATAGCAAGGCCATGGATGAGACTGTGAGCTTAAATGTACTTTACACAAGTGCAAAATTATTATGGGTCAATTCATTTACAATGATAGAGTTCCTCCTGCATCCTCCTTACCTGCTGGTGATAATGGCTAACATGTTGGGTAGAAAGAGAGGAACTGAATTGTCCTTCACAGAATTCCTAGGAGATTGATGAGCTCATAAGAGTTCTTCTCTGCTTCCAACGGAAGATGACAACGCCGTGTATTGAGCAAATGTGAGAAGAAATATCTTGGTCCCTAATGGAAGCAGCGAATTTGGAAATTAAGCTCAGCAGGTATGATGAGTCTGTGCAGTTTTCCAATGAGATCATTTGTCCTTGTACTAAAGTATGTTGATTGTATTATTGCTTTCTGCTTCTCTCTCCCATGCCCGCCCACCCCCTCCTTCACATCGTTCCTCAATTTCCCCCTGCTGCTTTTAATAAAATGAATCAAAAGTGCTTCAGAATAAATTGCAATAAAGCAAATGTTTTCCCACATTGATGTTCTTGTTGTTTCATCCTACGGGGCCTGAATCCAAAGAAGCCAGTAGTCTGATATAATGACCTGGGTGATATTTCTGCTCATCCAGGGAGCCCATTTCATCTCTGGAACTCTCATAGACTTTCTGACTTAGTGTCAGTTACTTGGAAAATTCTTAGCCATGCTTTGCTGGAGCAAAAGTTCCAACTTGGCCTCGATCTTTGCTACTAAGACAGTAGTAGGTCAGTCCCACCTGAGAGCATTTGCTTACCTGATCAAACTATAACCACAGTTAGTGTTGCAGTTGTTTGATCTTCAAGGAGAGCTATTACAAACTGTGTTTTCTTCTCTTTAGATCAAGCATAACTGGCAATTTAGAAGGAATCATTTATTTATTTATTTATTTTTATACAACATATTTATATGGTCGCCCATCTCGCTTTTACAAGCAACTCTGGGTGGCTTACAATGTTATTTATATATTAACAATTACTAATTTCTCTACAATTACTAACCTTCTTGACTTGGCCAGCAGCAGTCACAGGGAAGTCAGAACATCCGGGCTTTCTTCCTCCGCCGACCTTCCTGTCGATCGCGTCTCATCTTCCGCCGATCGCATCTAGGTGGCTTCAGCACCGGTTCCTATCCCCTGTGCAGAGCGCCACCAGCATTTCCTCCCACCAAAATGGGAGTACCTATTTATCTACTTGCAGATGGTATGCTTTCAAACTGCTAGGTGGGCAGGAGCTAGGGATGAATGACGGGAATTCACCCCATCACGCAGAGCTGGGCTCGAACTGCTGGAGTGTCGACCATTTCTGGCTGGCAAACTCCAGCGTCATTAAGCCGCTACACCACCGCTTCCCCTTATATTTGGAGTTTGGGAAGCCTCCATTTCAACCTGGAGTTTGTTAGATGACTTTGGGCCAGTCCAATCCTCCTCACAGAAAGGTGCCTGTGGAAATATAATGAGGGAAGATCTTTCTGTTAGCTTAGGATAGTGTTTCTCAACCTTGGCAACTTTAAGATGTCTAACATGTTTAAGATGGCTGCTTGGGAATTCTAGGAGTTGAAGTCCAGATATCTTAAAGTTGCCAAGGTTGAGAAACACTGGTTTAGGATTATCATATCTGGACTGGAAAAATCTTGGCAATCACTAGAGTTACATTTTTGCAGTTCATATGTGGTAGCAAATGTAAACTTTCTTAACCTCTCAGAGAATTCATGCATAAGTAAATACAAGTCATCTTTTCTTCCTGAGCCTCACTTTGCCATTAATCCTGAATGTCACATTTCTTCCCATCTAGCTCAAGGGTCAATCCATTGAGCAACCTGCTGGTGTTAATGGTCAATAGCTGTAATGGAATGTGGGAAAGACTTGGGAGACCGGGCCAAGCGACGCTGCCTAGGGAACAGAGGTGGCCTAGCCCACAGCTGGAGAGTGGTGGAGAAAAAGACTCAGAAGGGACCCTCTCTAGTCTCTTGGGCTGTAAAGGAGATGGTGGGAGAATTGTACTTTGAGATTTGCAAGATTCTGTTAATGTAGCTTTACAATAAAGTATTAGTAGCTTATCTGGTTGTGTCTCCTATGTGGTTTACCCAGGAGGACTGACATCAATCTTGCAAGACTGAAAGTACAAATCTCCCACTGTCTCTTTTTACTGCCTGATCAGTTAGGGCGGGCCCTTTCTAAGTTTCTTTCTCTGCCTGTTACTCAGTTATGGGCTTCTCCCCCTTTTATCTGATTGTTCCTTAGGCAGCATCTCTTCCTCCCATCTTCCAAGGTCATTCTCACATTCCATTAAAATATCCGTTGCAATATTGCTTGCTGATGGTTTATATCTATGTTCGCTAAAGAGGCCTCTGTGCTGTATTGACTATCCTAGATTTTATTCCAGGCATCTTTCCCCCTCCCCCCGCTATCATTTGAATTAAGGCAATTAATTCACGAATGCTCATGCTTAACTCATTTCTCATCACTGCATCCTACCCACCTTCCCGCTCCAATGCAAAAAAGAAAAGAAAAGAAAAAAAAGTTTCACTGTGTACATTTTTTGCTTTGCTTTGGTCAAATCATGAAAATGAACTCTTTGAAATGCAGCATGTGCTTACATGCAGCTATAATGAGGTTCATAATTACATTCCCCTTCTTTTCCATCACAGAACTGCCCATGAGCTTTTCGATTTGAATGTGTTGATTTTTTTCTGCCCAAACATAAAACATGTTGTTGCTACTGGTGGGGGGGACGAAATGTTTGTATCTGTGTTAAAATTAGGGAACAAACAACCAGGGAAAATTATCTTTTTCTTGCTTTGGTTATTAAATGCTGAGAGGTGTTGACTTGACCTCTCCAAATGCTAGCTTAGACAGGCCTTTGGGCCTATTTGAGAAAAGAAGGTTTATTTCTCTATTGAAAAGAACAGTCTCCTTTGGCTTTTGACTTCTCAATGTACTGCCCTGGGATTTTCTGGTGATTTCCCATCCAAATATTAACCAAATCCTAACCTCTTTAGCTTTTGGAATCAGCCAAGATCAGCTGCAGAGCAGTAACACAACTTGATGATTCTTACATTAACAAATAAGGTTTATTGTTGCACAAGTCAAGCCAATTAAACAGTATATGTATATCTAGGATCCAAGCATTCCTTCTGAAGAATGTGAAAAACTCCTCTTCCTCTTGAAGTAACATTTACCCTGGTTGGGTAAATGAAAAATATTCCAGGGCACATTAAAAGCAATTATAGAGGTACAGTTCTGTGAAGGAGCAATAGAAGAGCTTAGCAATATCTTTAATTAGTGCCAATCAAGTTAACAGAAAAGTATGTTTAAGCTTTTGCATTCTCCAGAACACTTCATTAGGCAACTCAAATACGTGTTATAAAAATGGAGTGAGGAAGAAGACATGAGAAACCTAAAAAATAAAAATCCACCCCAAAGGGCCAAATAAATATTGTTGATGGTATCTGCTATTTTGAGACAATAACATATTCATAGCAATACTGTTAAAAAATTACGTGGAGGTACAGTATAATAAAATATTCACCACAAATGGACTTAAAATTCATAGCTTTTCTGCCATTTGATATTTAATATAGCTGACCAAGAGCAAAGGTCTATGAGCTTTGCTGTGAGTCTCTCCCCCGTGAAATCTCTCCTGGCCCTACATTCTCACTTATACTAGGTCTGTGTGAAGTGAAATAAATTCACTTTGACAAAGCAGTCCAAGGCATGAAGGTGATGTGATTTGCTTCACCAAAGTAAAAAATCCAACAAATTCACCTTGACCAAACAGTTCAGGTGGTCTTGAACCACTTTGGCCAAGAGCTGTTTGTTGGAGAAGGCACTTCTGTTTCTCCTCTGCAACATTGGCTGAAGGGGTTCCAGTTCTAGACTTGATCAAATGCTTTAGGATAGCCTGCAGAACATGCTAAAAACTGGATGACTTTTGGCATGCCCAGAGGGAACACCAGGCTTAATCACCTTTGGTCAATTCTGGGAAAAAAGACTGTTCTCACCTGTAGTGTGAGAACTGTTGGAGGAGATTAAGAGGGCCTCAGAAACAGTGAAGCAAAGTGTGTAGATGTTTCACAAAGCAACTTCAAGGGGTGCTTCCTCTGAAGCTTCACTGAAGTGAAGCACATCTTCAAAAGTTCATACAGCCTGATATAACTATGTCCAATTCAATAGCACTATTCTGAAAAGTTTGAACAGAGTTTGGAAGAAAGGTTTCAAGTGCAACCAAAGAAAAATCAGGGTGTTGGTTGATAATATCCAAGACACTGGAGAAGACTGAAAATCGTTGAAGCCAAGACAGAGGTTATATTCAGGATTTCACCATCTACACACACACACCTACACGCACACACACAGACACTTACAGAATTATTGAGGCAATTTAGCCCTTGACCTCAAACAGACTTCTATAGACCTAATATAGGCCCACATAGAGGAAGAGATATAGATCCTTTCCTGAAAGGTGTCCTGGTACCAAGTAAAGCTTGTTATTAATTTTCTCAGGCACTCTAGGAAATCACAGTTATTAAACACTGTTTTGCAGCTGGTTTTATTGCTATTTTATCTGGCAATATTTATGGTCGTTACTGACTTTGCTGTTGCTATTTTTTATGTCTATAATGCTGCCATCTTAACTGCTGTATATTGGTTTTGTTATATACTGCTTACGTTTAACAGATGCTTACACCCTCCATGGATTGTGGGGCAGGTTAAAAATGTGGTGCCTACATAGATACATCTATAAATAACGAGACATCTGGAAACTTTGCTGAGACATCTGCCAAAGGGAGTGAAAGGTGAACAGCTGTTCGAAAAGAGTTCAAACCATTTTCATAGCTCTTGATCACTGATAACTTGTTCTGTTACAGGTACTCCCAGGTTCAGCTTGCTCGCTCATTCATTCATTCATTCATTCATTCATTCATTCATTCATTCAATTTACTCATGTGAGTAGATAAATGGGTACTCTCACTCAGGCGGGAGGAAAAATGCTGGCGGCGCCTTGCAAAAGGAGTCAGGAGCAGTTGCCGGTAAGCGCGAAAAACCATGCGTGCCCGAAAAGGGCGCGAAGCAACAGAAACCTGGCCTCCTGCGCTCGCCAGCTGGGCTCTGCTCTAGGAAGGAGGCTCTGGCAAACCACTTCCGAAACAATTGCCTTGGAAACTGCAA